TGTTCTAGTGGTACGGTTGCGACATGTCTAGTTTTTTCAAAAAAAAAAAAACAGGCGACACCTGCTTGGAGGTGCTTCGTGCGCGGACTGCTTTGGATTTGGCCCCTCTTGAAATACCCATACGGTCGACTGCTGTTTACTTACGGGCTCATACGCGTAAACCCATGATCCATCACCTGTCGCAACGTCATAGACGTGTTTCAAAGCACCGCGATCGTATTTTTTGAGCATTTCTTTCGACCAATCAACACGACCCTTTTTTGAGGGATTGACGAATTTTGTGGGATCCAACGCGAACAAATATTTTTTACAGTCGAATGTTCATGCAATATTGAATGTGTGCTGGTCTCACTAATGCCTAAGGTTGTCCCAAACTCACGATAGGTCCCATGACGATCTTGCAATATTAGTTTGCGCACAGCATCGAAACAACATCTGATTTCGGAGACCTCCACGGAATTTGTCTTGGAGCGAATTACGACCTTGGTTGAATTCACCATACCATCGATAAGACTGGTCCATGATGGAGCTTCATCGCCAAGGAGGCAGGGGAGATTAATGGGGAAGAAGGTTTGGCCTAAGTGGGGGGTGGGGGCCCAAGGGCCTGAGTAAATTTTTTAAGTTAGTGTAAATAACACAAGGAGCACTCATATGTCAAAACATTCTGAGTACGTATAACCTCAAAAATATCAAACTTCACGATAGAGCTATCAGTTGCCAGATTGCAACACTAGGGTTGCTCAACCCCGAAATACAAAAGGCAACCCTCGTATAAGTGCTGACAAAGGACGCGATCTCCCAACGACCTAGCTCGATGGTCAAGGAAGGAAGTTCCTCTTTCGGCTTACCAAAGATCGTTATCGTGTTAATCAACACTTCAGGGTAGTGGAGCTGTGAAGGGCAACGATGTTGCAATTTTTAGGAAGCCTAGTGAGAACAAGTGCATGTGGAAAGAATATCTCGGTAGACCCCAAACAACGAATTACATCTCTCAACTGAAGGAAACGCTCCACTAAACACTTGACAGAGAATGAGGTCCGTCGCGCAGTCTGAGAGGTTAACGTCGCGAAAGCCACTGGCCCGGAATAGTACCAATCGAGTTATGGAGGGCACTTGAAGAGCACGGAATCAGGTGGCTTACCCGTTTCCTGAATACTGTTATCGCTGAAGGAAGGATACCGGCGCGTGGAGGAACACAACTGTCGTCTCCGTCTTCAAGCAAGTGGGGGATGCGCTGAATTTTCCATTCGCCGTGGATTTAGGTTGGCTGCGCCTACCATGAAGCTATATGAGCTATATGAGCTAATCGACTCAAAATTGAGGGAACGTGTCACGACTTCACAGGAGCAGTACGGTTTCATGCCACAAAGGTTTAAAGGGATGCATGCTAGACAAGTGATGAAGTATCAAGAAAAGCATCATGCTCTTTGGCCTTGCTCAATCTGAGGAAGGCTTTCGACCGCCTCCTTTGGCGAGTCCTCTGGAGGGTCTCTGAAAGCGAAACGTTCCAGGAACTTGATTTTCCTGGTCAAGGACATGTACGATGGGTCCGACAGCAATACGTTCACCACACGGCCTAACCAGGGATCAGCTAATCTGTTTCTCTTTCTACCAAAATTGGGTATCATCACAAGCGGACTTCTGGATAGACTATTAAGACATCCTCTGGGCCGAAGGCACCATTCTATAAGCGTAGATCAGAGAAGAACTCCAGGACAGGCTGCAGAAGTGACAAAAAGTGGTGACGTAGAATGAGCTGCGGCTAAACGTGAAGAAGACTAAGTTCTACAGCTCCGAGGAGTACGAAGGGTCAATCGGAGACGGTCTTCGAGAATGTATCAAAAGGAAACAGACTTGACTTTCGATAGATGGGAAGTGACACAGCCGCTGACTGTAGCGTCGACCAGGCCGCAAAGGCCCAACTAAAGGCGGCATTGATAAAGTGGAGGGATTGCTACCATATTCTGCCACTGCCGGTGCTCCAGGACGTTCAAAGGAGAGGTGTCTTTGATAGTGGCGAGTTGACAGGTAATTAATCATGAAAGGCAGCTACACTCCGCGAAATGAGGACGTTCAAGGGGGTCTTCGCGGCTGGACCGGAAAGAAACGAAAATGTCAGAGCGTTTATGTTAACCAGTAGTTACACCATTTCCTCGCCAGTTCGTGCCTTTTGTATGTATCAGTTATTTTTACGACCTCCACACCAGGTGATTACCGGACTAGCCGTCCACAACATCCTACAGAAGTCACCAGTCCTTCGAGGCACAAGCATTTGCTTCTTATGATGAATGAAAAATGGTAAATCTTACGAATGTCGCAGTTGATACGATTCCTTTTGCTCCATTTTCCGCGACGACATTTAAGCTCCATATGATCGTCGGCTCTGCCGCCGATGGCACAACCCACCTGGAATAGTTTCATCAAAAGAAACAAGACTGCATCAAAAATTCTGTTAAAGCACCATCCCCCCCCCCCCCCATGTTGCTTATACCACAAATACCTCTAAACCTCGAAATACCTCTTACCATTAGTACTGTTCCATGAGCAAACTTATGATGATTTTGTGGCACGTAATTATCGATATTCACTATCCGTAATGTTTTATCCAGCATTGGAAGTAGACACATTCCGTCGTTGAATAAGCTTTTTGCACTGTAGACCGTCTCATTATTCGAAACTGGAAACAGATCTGGTTATTTCAGTGTTGACTGATCAATAACAATTGGAGAAACTACAAATCAAATTTGCTCAGTAGAGTCGGAACCAAGGCTAGTTAAAGACATTCGCCGAACTTGACAATTAATTTTTCCTGTTCAACCTCTCTATTAACGAATAACTCCTTTGTCAAGGTGGGTGCGATGGTTATCGTCGCGGATTCGCTACATCGGCTAGCATAATTAGCAGTTGCCACACCAATTTTCTCTACCGATACGCTCAACGAATACGATACTCTCGTCCTTAGGTTAGCTACGAGTTCCCACCTCCATCAGCTAACGATATCAGCAGTTCTTTCAGTGTACCACAGAGACCAGCAAAAGGCAAAATAACTGGGTTCGATCTTCCGGCAAAATGAGGAACCGCAAGAAAAGGTAACTTTGTTTGTGTACATCGATGTTAAGAAGCCGTTTTTCACTCACCACATGGTAATAGATTGCTGATCCATTCCCCATTCACGCACTCGATTCCACTTGCTTCCTCACGATTATCTACGCACTGAAATGCATTTCTTTAAAACTGCCCACAAAAAACAGCGATTGAAGTCTTACAAATCTATATTCTAATAGGGAGTTAAGCTCAGTTTGCGCTGTTCTAACTTTGTGATACAACAAGGTTTGATGGCAAGGTACTAGAGAAACTACTTTGGAACTCCATGTTGGTTCACTAAACTAATTATTAGGTTGATGCATAATTATTGCAAGTTTTTTCGCGGCTTCTTTTCTCTCGATACAATTTGAATACTGGATTTGGGATTTTCGTAGAAATAATTTTCACTCACATTCGCCACATTATGCTCTTCTACCGCGATCCCAGTGAACTTTTCACGATGAAACGGTCAGCCGAGCCAAGTATGGAATCAATCCGCTCCTCCGTCATATTCACCGATAGAAACTTCTATGAATTATCACCTCTACCGTACTCGTTGGAAAATCGGCTAGCGAACAAAACTGCCGACGAAATGGATAACTTGATGGCCGACGTCAAGGCGTGGATCGCCTCCAAGAATCGAAAATTCTTCGCCTTAGGAGACTGACTGCCTAGCAAATTGGAAGCAGTTCTCGACGTAGATTGTGGATTTGTGCCGGAGTAATTATTTGAACATGTTTTGTTCAGTATTTTTATCGTTTCTTCAAATAAAAAATGTGGAAAAAAATTTGCAATTATTTTAAATCAACCTAATAGAATCATTAAACAGAATAGGCTGCTAGGGCTAATCTGCTGAATGGCGGTCAATTTTCAGCTAATTTCCGAGCCTTTTCTGAACTAATAAGTTGAAGCAAATTTAAGTGAAGCCTTTAAAGTCGGCGCTGTCTACTCCATGATCACGGACTTGTAATTATTGAAAACTTCTACCTTGTACTGAAAAATTGTTCCATTCGGATACGCAGTTTGATAACGATCCAGTTCAATTCTGTGACCATTTTGAAGACTGTAGATGAACGCCGGAGTCGTGTCACGTGGTGCAGTACAAAATGTAGTTGCTTAAAAAGGATCGCAATAACTTCCACAGAGGTGTTACTCTATTGGTATCCCATGATTCAGAAAATTAGTCCTCAAGCATGCATATCCAACACAAAAGTGATATTGAGAAGTGAACCCCGAAGTGAGAAATTATAATATTGAAATGAAAGACGATAAACGCTGAATAAAGTAAACACTAAGTAAAGTAAGTGAACGCCAACTAATAGTGGTCAGACTCGGGATAATGCAGGTTCTTCCTGGGGTTTCTCAGACAATATTAGAAACAACCATTATTGCCTACCGTTTGCCATGCAAGTAGGTGATGGGCTGATTACGCCACGACTGCATGTGAGTGTTACGTTCCTTGTTGAGCACAGTAATGTAGCCTGCTGACCGTCGGCTAATGTTCGCACTAATGGGTGAATGCTTCCCACACTCAAAGTAGGCAAAAGACATTCATCTGAAAGAAATGATTTTACAATAAAAAAATTAGAAACTGCTCTTCAAATACTCACGTGGGTAACAATGTCCTAGATGGTTCTTGATAAGCCCGCGATGACATTCGAGCACACCATTGCCTGCATAGGTCTGGTTCATTGAAGCTCAAGCGTCGACGATAAAGCAATTTCATAGTCAGATACATTGCAAAGGTTGACAACCTATCACTCGATTCACGCAAAAAGTGAACGCATGCCATCGGCAATGTTTTCGCAAAAAAAAATCGGCATAATGGATCAGCGCGATATGAAAACGATTGGCGGACATGGGGGGAAAGTCGAGGAAAGAAACATATTTTTGAGCTGCAATGGAGGGGAAGTGGAGGTTCTTCTTCAAGTTTTTCCGAAAACAAAGATATCTTTGTACTAGACGTTGCCTTCGATGTATTACTTTTATTTCGTCTTCAATACCGCTCGGGAAAGAATTCAAGAGACAACCTGTGCGGCTCAGGCACAAATATGCACTATACTGCTGTAGTTCTTAGCAATCAAAAATTCAGGATCTCAATGTATGTTTCTGCCTACCTTGAAGGTGGAACCCCCGCAAGCAGATCATCGTTGCTGTAGACCCATCTTCAATGACATCACCGGACTGGAGAATTTGGGAGGTACGTTGTTTCAGGAAAAACACATGTAATCGCACAGGTATTCGACAAGATTCTGAAATGATGGGGCTCATAAACTGCAGAAAGTGAATCTGAAGTCGTACATGAATGGCATACATGAAGGCATCTCGAAATATCAGCGACCCTGTACTGCCTCTTTTCGCAAAATGGAAATTTTTATGCTGTTTATGTACTATTGAATTGAATTATAACTAACTTAAGCTTAACACTTACTTGGCACACATTCCAGAGGAGGCGGTGCCCAGGATCCGTTCACGCAGACAGATCGTCCATCCATGAACTCAGATGGGAATTCGAAGCCGTCTCTGCAAATGATCTGAAGCCAACAGATCGTCGGCAATTGCTCAATAACCTCAAGGAGACTAAGGAGAGGAAGAACTCATGAAATGGAAGCCGCTTGAAAGTCTAGCTTCTTGACACTGTGAAATTGAATTGTGCTAACCGTAATATCGCCGTCCTTGTTGACCACAACGATCTTTTCTGCAGTGCTGCTGATTGGCTGGCAACTATTGGGGGCTCCATATCCTGAACGACGGTATCATAGTCAGCGTTTTCCCATTGCTGTCATTTTTCTCCTTCAAGTGCAAGGGGATTTCCAAAGATCCCTGCCAATAGAGGCCCTCTACCGAGCCGAAAAATGGACAGTGGGTCAGTCAAGGCGTTGAATAGGTACTGTAACAACAAATACACCCCACTGCTGCTCAGCGTGTTATGTAAAGAATGAAGAATCCCTCCTTCTCCTACCATCTCTACTAAGGGAAAAATGCGGGTCTGTCGCGGGGCTAAAGAAGTAATTGCGAGGTCTCTTCAAAGGCTTCAGAGCTGACATAATCGCATATAATCTCGCTCACTGCAATCACTGTATTCATACCTTCAATGCTACGTTTTTTTCTGTCCCAGGTGATTCTTCCTTCAATCATCGGATGGGTCTGCGAAACGCATTTTGGACGCATCTTCGGCATCCATTGTCCGTTAACGCACGACGCCTTGGGAGGACCTGAAAACCTCATATTCAACCAATGATTGAAAATACAACTGGAGGTCTGTAGTGCATTTTCCATCATTTCTCATTCGCAGTGGGNACAAAATGTAGTTGCTTAAAAAGGATCGCAATAACTTCTACAGAGGTGTTACCCTATTGGTATCCCATGCTTCAGAAAATTAGTCCTCAAGCATGCATATCCAACACAAAAGTGAAATTGAGAAGTGAACCCCGAAGTGAGAAATTATAATATTNGGGTCAGTGGTGCCATTAGTTTCAACCAAGGAACTTTTATGAAAAAATTTGAATGTGTAGGAAGATTGGACGCACCCACTAATTTATTACAGCAAAATCCCTCTTGAAGTTGATGATAAAAGGTATTCACCAATGAGTCAATACGCCCGAAAACTATTGTTCAGCAATGCCCATAAGAGTCAGAAAAAGAAGATCATCTATAGGTTATCGGGGAGTATTCGCGGTTTTGAAGACGCACGGCGGCTTTATTGATTTTAATAAAAATAAGACACAAAAGACAAAGTGATCACTAAAAGTTCAATCAATCTTGGCTACCTTTCAGGCTTTTGCTTCCTGCGAAGAACTCCGGCTTCGACTCGAAAAAGTTGCTTAACCGCTGATCATTTTCATCTTCATCAGAGAACGTGCTTGCCTAGGCATGGCATTGAAGTGGCACAGGAAAAGTCGTAGTCTTTCGGCGCAATGCCTAGACAGCGATCAACATCCAAAGTTGAGCAGCTTCTGATTAATCACTCTTGTAGCGTGGGACCGAGCATTAACATGCAGGAATCGGTTCATGCCATGATTCGGACGTTTTCTACAATTTCAGCGGCTATCTATTGAGCTACTGGCAGTACACGTTTCCTGTAAGCATAAATTGCGAGACACGACCAAGCACGCCATGCTCCCAACAGAAGAGCAGCGGCTTTCGACTACGGCTCGGGCTGCACATTCTTGTCAAACTAGTGTCGGTAGCGCTTGCTGTTAATGTACAGACATCACTTCTCATTTCCTACGACAATCGACAGCAACAGTCGATTGTGCACCTGTAGGAGAGCAACTAAGTGGCCACCTCAAGACGACGCTGAAGATCGCGCCCGGCCAAATCATTGGGTAATCACTACACCAGCTTGCGCTCCTTACATGGGGGTGAATAGCGATGGTGGTCAAGTGGGTTATTGAGACTCACGCTAGCTCACTCGTAGTTTGACGTAGTCCCACCTTCAAGCGATCATTGTCTATTTCGGATCGGCGGTCCTATCGAGCGAGATTTCGAGTATTGAAGACTCCTTCATGAAAGCTTCCTCTAATTGTCATGATGACGCTGTATTCGAAGAGAGTACAACGTCAACATGACAAATAGAGGGTTTGATCTTTTCACACTAATTAAATTCGAGTCAGGAAAAGCGTATCACATTTCAAAAAGGTGCATTTGAAAAGTTTGCGAGACCAACTTACTATTGTTGCAGAGTTCTTTCCAATACGTGTTTACTTATCGGGCCATTGAGGTAAGTCTTTTCTTGTCGGAAAAGATTATCTTCTATTAGTAAGTTGCCACCTTCAACTTAACATGCAGTAAATGAGCGCTCTTTTGTCGATACACAAAATGAAAGAGAGATCAGACGATACTGTTGCTGTCTCACTTTTTCGTCCCCAACGTCGTCATTATGAATAGAGAATTCGGTATAGTGACCTGAATTTGATTGGTACTGATTGCCGATATAAAATTCTGTGCAGCTACCCTACTTGGTCCACCAGATCTCGTCTTCTGGAAGTAAGGCCTCGGATCGACCAGTCTTGGGCTACTTAGCAATTGCCCAGCCCTGCCGTGTACAGGGCGCGAACCTGAGCTTCCTTGCTTGCTCGTTAATGTTTTCTTGAAGCGAACTTTTCGTCAAAGCCTCTAATTTTCGCACATACTATAAACACGGCACAACCACGTATTATACAGAGTCCTAATGTAAAAACCTCCAAATTCCTTCCATTATAACTGAAAATTAGCAAACAGAAGTTCTTAAGAGCCCTGATTTAAAACAAGCATTTTAGCCATGTACCAGAGTCCAGTTTTGTTAATATGATTTTGAGGATGCGTCCATACTTCTGGCTTTCCTCATCGTAGCGACTACACGCAAAAACTTTCAATTCCTCTGGCTTGTGTGCAGTGTTCTGAGGGTATCACTCCTCAGATGTTTATATGAGGATGGTTTGAAGGGCTTTATTCAAACCAGACTATAGTTCACAAAGCACAATTCATTTCTTTATTACGGACATTTTGACACCACGCTCTACATGAATTTCCTACAACCTGGTCTTTGAGGGCTTTGAAATTGCCCTTTCCTTAACGTTGACTTTGACTAACTTCACTATGAGGTTTTCTTTCTACCGCCCACCCCCCTCCCCACTTGCGAGAAACTAATGCCACTCCTTTGGAGGGCTATTGTCATAGTATTCCCTGCTGAAGGCATAAAAACCTGAATTATTAATAATCGACTTACCACCAATAAGGTAGTTGCCTTTGCGACACTGGAAGACAATCGACCGGCCTTCGTCAACTTTCTGAATATATTTAGCAAACTCGTATGCACCCATCTGACCCTCCAGCAGTATTTGGCCTCCAGCTAGCGTTCCGAATGTTCTTGAAGGATGATGGCACCAAGCTGAAAGAACATCTCAGCAACTTCTTAAGAAATAATTCAGAAGAAGTACATATTTGGAAATAAGTTCTTGAAATATTTTCATGTCAAGTATTAGGTTGGAAGGAAAGTCCTGCAACACAATGAAGGTCTTTTTCAAATTATTTCTGGAATTTTCCAGGCCAATCACTTTTCGGAAATATATTTACCCAAGAGGTCAACAACTTCCTATTATACTTTGAGTAAATCACTGATGCCTTTTATCCACAAGTGAGGAAGCTGTGACTCAAAAAGTAATTGACTGCCGTCTTCAGATCACATTAAGTTACGATTTATTTTTCCATAACGGTACGCTCAAGAAGGCGGAGAGCATGATAGGTGAAAGGGGCAGCAATTAGGGATTACGACTGATGAACAACCTGGAACCAATTCGAATCGTAGAACTTTTGACGCGTGTTTGAAGCGAACTTGGTCAACTTTCAGGGTTCACTGGGGTAAC